GCTTTTACAAGATTTGTGCAATGGCAAAAACAGTTTCTCCCAATAAAAGTGACACTTTTTGGTATTTCAATTTCTTTCAAATGATTAACATTATAAAATGCCCAACTTCTCAAAACTTTCAAATTTTGAGGCAATTTGACACTCGTAATAGTTTTACATGCAAAAGAAGAAGTATTTAAACTTGTCACAAAACTTGGAATTTCTAATAAATTAATTGAAAAGTGATAATCACAACAGGAGACACTACGAACACAATTTAAATATTTTTGGGGGATATGTATGATTTGATCTGCCATAATGTTAATGTTTTTAAAAATTAATTTATTTCGAATTTTTAAATCACCATTTTTTATTATACAATTATTCTTGTAAAGGTCTTTTATATTCAAAAGTTCATCGAAAGTCACTTGATAATGAAAAACAATTGAATGAAAATTCTCTCCATTGAGTTTTGTAGAATTTGATGAATACAAATGAAGTGTTTCAAGACGTGAAAAGTACTTTCGTGTTTGTTTTGAAATAGGAATTGGGTTGTAATGAAATTTGGATAAATTGTCAAAGTACTTTTTACAAACAAACTCAACGGTTATAAAATCTTTTATTGTTGTAAAATAAGAAGAGACAATCATTATATGATATCCATCGATTCGACTCATTTTGTTTTATTTTTTTATTTTCGTTTTTGTTACAATTAAAGTTTGAGTTTTGACTATTTAATTTTTTTATGATAAAATTATTATACAAACACAGTTAACAGAAAAAGTGGGATGCTAATCTAAATATTAATAAATTTAATATTATTAACAATAAATAATTAATATAAATTTATTTTGTTTTTTTCATTGTATTTAATTTTTAATTAATAATTTATATTATTATTAATAGTAATTAATAATAAAATTACTATTAACACTTAACTGGCCGAAAACCAATTATTTATTAGAATAATAACAATATCAAAAAATGCCTTCTTGAAAAAAGTTGTTAAAAAAGACCAAAAACCCCTTCTTGGCCGAAAAACCGAAAAATGACCCAAAACTTAGTCAAAAATAATAAAAATGAGGACTCAATTACCTAAGATTTGTTTTTGAGGTTAAAAATAGCAACACATATTTTTTTTCAAAAACACAGTCAAACTTTTCAAGAGCAGGAATGTATGGTAATTTTTGTTCTCTCAAGAACGGAAATTTTCACCAATCAAACATCAAAACATGTTCCATAGAAAACTCGATTTTTGGATTCAGTCTAAACTGCTTTCTATTGAGAGTAGCGCAATTCAAAAGTGCCGCGTTTAATAAGTTTTACTATATTTCAGAACCCCAAATTTGTTTTATTAAATAATAATATATCCAATATCCAATAACAAATTTTGTTGCATAAATAAGACGTATATTAATAATATAAAAACGAACCATAACAAACTCAATTTAATTTGATGTATGTCGGTGTTGACTAGATAAACAGCAAGTTGCTTTTAATTCGATAATATGTTGTTTTTATTGATGTTTTAGTTCATGTCATTAAAATAGATCTGAAAAAAAACAAAAAATAAATTATTATATTATTATACATTATCATAACA